ACTACAGCTTTGCCATCAAGGTCTTGCAGGCCAGAGCCACTAGGCCCTGCTGGCTTGGCAAGGCTCGGGATGGGAACAGGTGGCCATCAGATACCAGGGCCACCCATCCAAGCAGACTGCCCCTCTCTGGCCAGACAGGATCTGCCACCAAGGCACGGCCAGCTGCCTGTCACATAGCACATGCTCGCTGGAATCACTGTGACAGTTAAGCTGAGACTTGAAGGCCCTCAGCGGCAAGCAGACCAAGCCAGGGAAAGCATCCTAGAACAGGGAAAGCAGTATGTGCAAAGGCCCTGGGGCAGTTGGGAGCTGACTCACTCCAGGAACCCAGCAGAACTCTTTGTGACAACGAAAGGAAAAGATGAATGAAACTGCAACGACAGGCTGTGTGGGGCCACAGGGACACAAAGGCTTGTGCCTTCAGGCAGGCATCAGGCCTTAAACTCCATGCAACCTCCACAGGTACCAACCATGCAGGCTCTGCCCCTTCTCACCAGGGGGACCCGTGTTCTCTCGGTGGCTGGCAGAACCATGTCACATGGATCTTCCTGCAGGAACTTCCTGCCGAAATGCTAGGCAAGGGAAGACAGGCCAGCCTAGAGGGGAGGGGAAGGGGTGCTGTCCTCCAGGTCTTCTTCCAGCCTCCAAGCAGTTACAGATTTCTTTTCAAAAAGCATGGAGCCCAGGATATAGCTCAGCAGCACAGTGCCTGCCTGGCAAGTGCAAAGTCATGAGTTCGATTCCCGGTACCAAACAAAACAAAACAAAAAGCATGGAAAGGGTACCAGGCGTGGTGGCATGTGCCTGTAATCCCAGCACTCAGGAAGCTGAGGCAGGAGGATCGCCAAGAGTTTGAGCCTGGGCTACACAGTGAGTTGAAGGCCAGCCAGAACAGACTAGCGCAGACCCTGTCTCAAAAAAACAAGAAAGAAAATAAAAAGCACAGAAAGAAAAATTCTGCAAACGTTAGAAAGTACCACTCAGCGGGCAAAGCCTCGTCTGCCCACAGGACAAGTCTGCATGCGGCAGGGACAGGGCCGTCTCGTCACCGCTGTGTCCCCAGGCCGAGCTCAACGCCAGGCAGGAGGCTGAAGGAGTGGAATGAAGAAGCCGCGAGCTGGAAGAAGGCAGAGCAGGCGGATGGGTTGGGGGCGGCAAAGGCGGGCGCAGCGCGGGAAAGTGCTGAGCGGAGTCTGTCTCTGAAAGGCCCGGTTACCATCTGAGTCCTGGCTCACCCATTTCGGCTCAGGCGGCTGCAGATATTTGAAATGAGTCATTTCTCCTGATGAAGAGAGGCTGATTTGGATTCTGCCTCGTGTATCTCGAGATTTCGGGGAGCACCCAGGAGAGGCTGGGTCCCCCCCCCCGTCCCACCCTCAGCCAGAACTCTAGGAAGTAGGCGTTGGGGGAACCGTGGGCCACAGGACACCCCAGGGCCAGGGCAGAGTCCTTGGGGACGGGAGCAGAGCTGACGGCCCCCAGCCCTGCAGGGCTGCTCCCCTCACCCTCCGCTTCAGGACTCCTAGACAAATCTGGGCCGAGGCTCTCCCAGCCCCAGTTCACCCACAGCCTCGCCCCTCCAGGGTCTCCTCTACTCACCCTGGCCAAAACACGCCAGGCCCTGGCACCGTCCCACTGCCTTTTGCTGACCCCTGTGAGCTGCTGCCACATTCGGCCACCAGGAGAGCCAGGTGAACTCAGAGATAAAACTCAGGCCCGGCTGAGACCCGCTGGTCACTGCACACGCCCTTCCGAAGCCGCCCTGCCCTCCGTCTCCTCCCCGTGGCTCTGCTGGGCCTGGCTCCTTCCTGTCAGAACTGCCTTCACTGACTTTTACTAAATGAAATGTCCACCTCACTTATTTCTGCATAAGGAAAGAGATTCTTTAGGAAGAGTGATTTCTGGGATGCATGCAAAAGAAGACAGGGAGGGGAGCTCTCTCTTCTCTCCCCCCACCCCTTCCAGTCTTGGGGACTGAATCCAGAGCCTTTGCACCGAGCTACATCCCCAGCCCTTTTTATTTTTTATCTTCAAACAAGATCTCACTAAGTTGCCCAAACTGGAGGTAAATTTGAGATCTTCCTGCCTCAGCCTCCAGAGTGCTGGGATTACAGGCAGAGGTGCCACCACACCCGACTGAAGGAGGGGCTTTTCTCTGTGGCTTTTTATCTCTTCCAGGAGCGGAGAGCACTCAGAGAGGCGCTGCCTGCTGGCCGAGCGGACCCGCTTGAATTGTGTGCACAACCCTCGCACTAACCCGCCGCCGTCGTGTGAGGAGGTGTGGATCACGGTGATGTCACATTGCTCGTGTTGGGATGTCCGTCACCCTGCAGAGTGAGGGCCGTTTCCCACTCACTGCGGTGCGGGACCCTCAAACAAGGGGCCCCCGCCAGGGCGCAGGCCTGACCCAGGGCTGGAAAGCGAGGGCCACGCCCACTGCCGGCCCGGCGGCCCAGGGCGCGGTGGGCGTCGCAACAGGACTGAGCCTGCGCAGCAGGTGCTCATAGCCGTTTGCCGAGTGAAAGAAGAAACAGACGTCTATGGCCTTGGGACAGGTGCGCGCCTCCTCCACCGCCCCCCAGAGGTAAAAGGATGCCAGAGGGGGCGGGGACATAGAGTGGTCCTCCCTTCCTTCCGAGGCCCGGGGGGTCCCCGAAGCCCCGACCGCACTGAACCCTACCTGTGGTGCTTTTTCCTAGTCATAAGAGCTTTCACCTTGGCACTTGTTCAGTTTTTGAGACGAACTCTCACAGTATGGTCCAGGATGACCTTGAAGTCACAGTGATCCTCCTGCCTCGGCCTCAGAGTGCTGGGATGACAGGCGTGTGCCACCAGGCCCGGCCATCTTTGTACTTAAGGAAGGTCCTCAGGGGTCCTCTCTGGCCTGTTCCAGCAGCCAGTGTCGCTGCTCTTGGCCTCAAGCTGTTATTAAGCAGCATAAGCCTCACCTGAGCACAAGCAGTGTGAGACCCGGTGGCTCCTGAGTGACTCGGGCAGACAGTGTACCCAGCGTGGACGCGAGGACGGAGATGGCTCCGTCCTGGGTGAGACGGAACAGTGTGGGGGAGACTTTGCCACACTCTCAGGATGGCGCGCACAAACTTAAGCATGGCTGGTTTCTGGAATTTTCCACATATTCCAAATTTGACCACGGGTAACTGAAACCTAGAAAGCAAAACCACGTCTGAGGAGGACCATGGTCTAATTATTGCTAAAGTGTGAATGACTTAGCTGGGCTTCTTTCAGAAGGAAGACATGAGCCTCAAATGAAGAGAGAGAAGAGATCGTTCTAGAGACACAAAATCCCTCTGGGGGAATTTTCGGCAATAATTATGCAGTTTCCTTTTTCTTTTCAAGAAGTCTCTGTCCTAGGCCGGGGATATAGCTCAGTGGCACAAGTGCTGCCTGGCAAGCACAAGGTCCTGAGTTCGAGTCCCAGTACGTAAAAAAAAAAAGAAGAAGAAGAAGAAGAGGAAGTCCCTGTCCATACGGGGCTCCTCCTGCCCACCCCTCCTGCAGTGAGGGTTCCCAGGTTGGGGTGCCCAGAAGCCTCAGCCCCTGACCCTGCTTGGCTGGGGGTGGTAAGGCAGGAGGAACGGCCCTCTCCCCCCACACACAGGTTCCCCAGATCTAGTTCCCTGTGGCCCTCAGAAGGCATGGAAAGAATCCAGCCTCTGACTTTGACCTGGCAGCCCTGGGTCACTTCCCAGCTCCCGGCCTTCAGGTTTGTCCTACATCTGTCCCCTGCCCACTGGGCTGTATGCCTGGCCGTGTCACCCTTGGCATCTTTTCTGAGGGTGGAGTGTTTTGAGACAGGGTCTCACTATGGAGCCCAGACTGGCCTCGAACTCGCAGTGATTCTCCTGCCTCAGCCTCCTGAGTGTTAGGATGCCAGGCTTGCACCGGGATCCATAATCTTTAGGAAGCAGGACTGTTATCACCCCATTTCCCAGACAAGGAGGCTGAGGCTGGAGAATCCCAAGCTAGGAGTCAACTATCCCTAGGACATATTGCCTGGGGCCAGAGACCCCACCCCTCTGAGCCTGTTTCCGTTTTTATAAAACAGGGGCGTCCAAGACTCCTTTTTCAGTTGATCGGGACATGTACTCACCTCCAGAGTGACCTATGGAAGGTGCGACCCAGGAGGGCCTCACCCGGCACCCTCCTCCTTCCCTCCGCGGACAACAGCCTCGTTCTGTGGCCAGGCGTGTCGCTGCCTCAGTTTCCCCAGCTTGAGTGGGAGGAGGGCGCTGGAGGAGAGGTGAGGGCAGCGGGCACCCCTGGGGGACCCAGGCCGGCCCTGCGCGCAGAGGGGGCGCAGAGAGCAGCCCAGCCACCCCTGCCCCGCCTGTCTCCCCCTCGCAGTGTCCGGGGTTTTATTTTTGTGGGTTTTTTCCTTTCTGTTTTCCTTTTTTGCTTTCTTTTTTTTTTAAATTTCAGCCACTCTGTGGTCCCACCCGGGGCCTCCTGCCCCCTCCCGCCTCCTCGCCGGTGGCTGTCACACGACAGACATTTTTAGTGGTGACAGCTGGCCTTGTGGAACTCAGCTCGAGTTCTGGAATGGTTTTTAAAAAAAGAGCGAGCCAAACCAGCGCCACTTTAAATAGCTCTGCAGCTCAGGAGAGCGGAGAGCGGGCTGTCGCCGCGCACACCAGTTCCCAGGGAGGAAGGCCCAGCGCGGGGACCTCCCCGGGAAACCGAGGCCCAGAAGGGCAGCGTCACCCGCCAGCTCGCAGGCTGGGGGCGGCAGGGCCCGCCTCAAATCCCGGGCTGTACAGGTCCCCCGTCAAGCCCCTCCTGGTGACGGCGCCTGCCTTTTGCCTGCCCTTTGCTGACCTTGGAGAATAGAGGCTGCCCAGAGGCCACGGATGCCCACAGCACTGCGGCCCCAAACCCGAGGCACACCGGGCTGGGCCTCCAGGGCCCCAGGCCTCGGGCGAGCGGTGCAGTCTGCCGCCTGCTCCATACCCACGCTCCAGGCAGCACCGGGTGCTGCTGCCTGTCCCCGTGTCATCCCCCTGGCTGGCTTAATTGACCATGGCAGGGCAGTGGCCCCATGGGCGTGGGTGTGGGCATGTGCCACCCCCAAGGGCTGTGTGTCCCGCCCGCCAGGGTGCCTATGGTGGCCACACACCTGGGTTCAAACCCTGCTTCATCCACCTCTCACGGTGTGGACTCTGAAGCTCATGTGCCACTCTGAGCCTCCACTGCCCCTCTGTGAAATGGGAACAAGAAAATCAAAGCTGGGCATGGTGCAGCAAGCCTGTCATCCCAGCACTTGGGAAGCTGAAGCAGGAGGATCGCTGTGAGTTCAAGGTGACCCTGGGCTACATAATGAGTTCAAGGCCAGCCTGAGCTACATATTGAGACCCTGGCTGAAAAGAGAAAGAGAGATGGAGAGGGAGAGGGAGAGAGAGACAGAGAGAAAACGTAGATTGGGAGAAGTCAGCACGTAGGACCCACAGCCCAGACCCGGCCTAGTAAGTGAAGCCCTTGGTCTCAACCCCAGGCCAGGCCTTCTCCCCCGCAAGGCCCCGTCTCTGACCCGAGCCCCTTTTTGCGTCCCCAGCCCTGGACAGAGCGCTACAAGTCAGTGTGGCCGGGCCAAGGAAAGGCCAGGCTGCTCTGCTCCTGGTTCCAGAGCTCGCATCTCCTCCTGGGCCCGCGGAACGAATCCCCAGGCTCCCCGGCCTGCTCCCGCCATCCCTGCTGTCTCCCTGTCCCTGACACTCCCCCTCGGGGTGACTCATTTCCTGTGCACCCCATCCCATCCTGCCCCAGAACACGGACACCCGAGGACAGGCCTTCGCCCAGCAGCCTCAGGGTCTAGGCCGGGGCCAGGGGCACGGCGCGCTGGACACACACCCTCCGCGGGCACAGCATGCGCGCCCCTGTGCACATCCCCAAGGACCTGGAAAGCGGTGGCTGCTGTCAAATGCTGGAGGAGGAAATCTGACGCAGGAGAGGAGGATGTGCCCAGCAGGGGGGAGTTTTTCTATCCTGGGAACCTCTGTGGGCCTCTCCTGCTGGAACCTACTGGGTTCCCCGCCGTTAACCCTCACAGCGCCTCAGGAGGAGTGTTTTTTATTATAGGGAAGGACATTAGGCTCAGAGAGGTAAATACACTTGTCCAAGGTCACACAGCAGTAAGTGCAGGATCCAGAGTTCTAACCCTTGCCTGGCTCCGGAGCCTGACTTCTTGCTGTTAACAGCCTCCAGCCCCACCCAAGGGAGCCATCCTGCATCAGATCAAAGAGAGGAAGCCCGATTTGCCCTGAAGGAAACCCCAAAATTAAACAGACCAGCAGTGAACTCTGCATCGACAGAAGGATTCCAGCAGAGGTTGAGCGAGTCCAGAGGTAGACAGGATGGCCAGGCTTCTGCACTGGATGGCGTAGGGTGACCTAGAGGTCTCTGGGGTCTCCTTGCCGAGAGATTTGCATCCCATGATGTATATCCCAGGCCATGGGCTGCATATTTTATATCTTTGTTTATATTTTTTAATATAGCATCTCATTTAATCTTCAAACAATCCTGTAGATGAGCATTATTACTATTATCCATGTGACTCAGTCAGGTTCTGCTGTGATAATGCTGTGTAACAAACAGCCCCAATGATCTGGTGGTGGCTGCCTCATCTATTTTCATGCCACGGGCTGCAGGCCAACTAGAGGGACTTTCTGCATTCTGTGGGCTGACTTGGCTCAGCTCCAGGCCTCAGGGTGGGTTTAGGTCTGCTCCAGGCTTCTCCTGGAACCACCAGCTGCTGGGACCATTTGCCTTGTCCCACAGTAGAAGCCCAGGCAGCTGTGTCACAGTCATAAGTGGCCCATGGCCTATGGCTAAGCCCACACTTCAGAGGCGAAGGGCCGCACTCGCCTGCCCCAGTGGGAGCCGCTGCCCGTCATTCTGCAAAGAGCGTGGTATAAAAGCAGGAGAGGGTGGACATTCCCGATTAGAATCCAGGGCCTTCCACAGGGACACAAATGGCTGAGGTCACAGCTGCTCAGTGTGACTCCAAATGGGATTGTGACCCAGGCTTCTGACATCAAAGCTGGTCTGGCCCGCAAGTGGTCAGGCCAGGGCCCGTCTATACTGGGTACACTCTTCAAATCCAGTTTATTGCATGTGAATTATACCTCAGTGAAGCTGTCACAGTATTCCTAAAGGCAAAGTACTCCTAAAGGGAATTCTCAATCGACAAATGGTCACTTCAGTGAATGAAATGTTACTACCTTGCCACTACCTCCCCAGCCCTTTATCCATTTTGTTTTAAGACAGGGTCTTAACAAAGTTGCCCAGGCTGGGCTCTTTGCAACCTTAATTGGCAATCTTCCTGCCTCAGCTTCCCAGAGCACTGGGATTACAGCCGTGCACCACTGCACCCAGTGCAGGGACAATTCTGAAGAACTTCAGCAGAGCAGACAGGGAGCCCCGTGCAGGGCAGACTCATCCACGGGGACACACCGGGCAGGCCCCTTGAGAAGAGGCTGGAAGGATGACTCTGCCAACCTCCACGTATGGATCTGACCTGGATCCACTCGCGCAGAAGCAATGCACATGCGTGGTACGTGTTCTTTCCTCCAGCACCAGGCGGAGGGGGGTGACACTGGGGTCTTTGGCACTGAGCTACACCCCAGCCCTTTTTTTAATCTTTTAATCTTAAGATAGGGTCTCACCTAAGTTGCTAAGCTGCTGGGTTTGAACTTGTGATCCTCCTGCCTCAATCTCCCGGAATGCTACTTCTATATCTCACACGCTCTGCAGCTATATAATATATTATAATTGCATAAAGACTATGGAATTTTAGTACATAGATACCGTTATATGTATGTATTACATACATAGGTATTTCTAGGCATGTGTTTATACACTGAACGTATGTAGAGGGCATTGGAAGCTTGGTAACCCCTTGCATGTGTTTAACACGCATAATTACGTGTTAAATAATTTACGTGTCTGAGAAATGTGATGATATTGATTTGGGTTGTAGGTATTGTGTCTATGTGGGAAGTGGGCAGGTCCTTTTCTTAAACAGCTAAATACGAAAATATTCCCAGAGGAGGCAATGTAATATCTGCCACTGGCTTCGAAGGAAATAGGAAACCCAGGCTCGAGGACAGCCAGGATGACAGTGACGCAGGGTCCTGGTGTGGCCAGGTGGTGGCACACAGGCTCACACCACTCACTCTGGGTTGGGGAAATGCTTTAATCTCAGCTACTCTGGAAGCTGAGGCAGGAGGATTTCGAGTTCAAGACCAGCCTGGGCAACTCAGTGAGACCCTGTCTCAAAAAGAAATGAACAGAGAGAAAAATACTCAGTAGAACTAAACCCATGGTGCGGGGCACCCGGAACGTCCAGTGAGCCAGGCAGCTGCACCTTGGCCCAGGGGGGCCGCCTTGCTCTGGGCCTCACAGGTCACTGGCTGGGCTCCTGGCTCAGGGGTCCGGCCTGTGCTCACTGAGCTGGGCAGGGGCCCAGATGGAGGACAGTGGTGCTCGCCAGTGTCTAACAGGTTCACCAGGCCAGGAGCCAGTATGGGGACAGAGATGTGAGAAGAGCCTGATTTGGCCCAGGGCACTGGGGAGCCATGGACTGTTCAGCAACAGAGAGGTCCCACTGCTCTGACCTCCGTGGGGAAGATGAAGTGGAGAGGACAGGTGGGGAGACCTGCAGCAGCCCAGAGGGGGTCCCTCCCGATCCAGGGCACCGGGTTGCAACCTCTCCCCTCCACCTGTGCCTGGTCTTTCCTACCTGTCTTTTTTGACTCAATCTGCTGTGAAAGGTCCCCTCTCTGATCCTCAAGCCATTAAAACGCTGCCTCAAAGCTCTGCCCAAAAACCACCTCCTCCAGAAAGCCCTCCTAGATTTCCCCACCCCCCCAATAGAGCCCCTCAGCACAGCCCACGGCCCCCAGGCTCCAGCTCTCAGCGTCTCCTAAAAAGCTTGTGTCACTTTGTCAGCTCCCACTTGAAACGGGGCTAGGAGTGGGCTGTGGCCTAGGGCTGGTAGGGAGCAGGCGGACAGACAGACCTGTGCCCAGTGGTCTTTCCACATTAGCCAGGACAAGCTGCAAGGCAGGAGCCCAGCCCAAGCTGTCCTAACCAAAAGGGACAGATGGCCTCAGGCCAGGCTGGCTCCAGGTGTTCAGTGCCCCCCACCCCCTCCCCAGCTCTCAGCTGACCCGGGTCACATGGCCCCGCTCAGCGACACGGAGAACTGGAGCCCGGGGCCTGGGTGGCGGCGGATGCCGGGCAGGGAGGAGCAGCCACATCCCCGGTCCGGCGCCGCCTGAGGTAGGATGTGCAGGCCAGGCCCAGGACGAGGGCCCTTTCTGCAGAACTCAGAGCAGAGGCAGGGCCAGCGCTGCGGCACACATGCTGCAGGAGGTGGAGGCCGGAGAAAGTCCTGCGGAGCAGGGGTGGGAGACCTGTCGCACACTGAGGCCACTAGTCCCTACGCACGGCTGCCCGCAGAGGCTCAAAGACACAGGCCAGGCCCAAGCGTGTGGCCCGGGCATCTCACCCACCCCCAGGCCCAGGCAGCCACAGGTGGGGTGGGCAAGAGCTTCGGCACCTCCGTCCCCTCCGCCAGCCCAGCGAGGCCTCGAAGGTCGGGCCGGGGCGCCCCAGACCACCGCCCCTGAGCGCCGCTTCTCCTGCAGGCCTGGCCCCAGCCTCCTGGGGCGTCTTCCTGCCCCCTGACTCGCACCGGTGGAGGGGTCATTGATTGGCTTCCCCATTTTTTATTAACCAAAGACAGCCCAGAGCCGAGCGGGGTGTGCTGAGGGAACGCGGTGTCCTCGCGCCACGCGGGGCCTCTCCTGGGAGACACAGAGGCGGCGGAGGCTGAGCTCCTCCAGGGCGCCGGTGCCTCGCTCCCCGGCTGCTCAGTGGGACCAGAGCTGGAGAACGCATCCTCTGGGTCCCTGGTCATCAGCCCCAGAGAGGGACGACAGAGCCGCCCACACCCAGTCACCGCCGGCTTCTCCACAGCCGGCTGCAAACGCGGCAGCTCCCACCCCAGGTAGGAGGCCCCCAACATCTGGCCCGAATCCTTTCTGCCTCCACCACATCTGGGTCGGGGGAGGGGCTCCGTGCTGTGCGGCTGACAGCTGGGGTCCGGGGCGGGCTTCCCTCAGGTCTCTCAGAGGCCTGCTCCGCAGAAATGAGCCTCAGTTTCCCTCGAAGCAGCAGGGAGGCCGGGACCACCGGTTGGCGTCCTAAGCTTCGACTCCGGGGACACGCCCCACCCCCAGGACACCCCCCACCCCGGCCACTCTGGCACTGTGAGGACGTCGTTCGCGGGGCGCTGTCTGGGGTCAGGGCGTTTGGGCCGTGTGGGTCCGCAGTCCCGGCAAGGACAGCTGTGCTGGCCAGCACAGGAAGAGGGGCCCAGGACATTCAGTCCGCCGGCCTGAAGGCGTACACCAGCCAGGGCCACAGGGGACAGGATCACGCCATCTTCCCAGGCGAAGGCAGCGGAGGGCATAGAGGGTGGACTGGAATCTTGGAAACTGGAAGGGTGAACTTGGTGAGTGGCTCGAGAAGATCCAGGATGGATCCCCTTCATTATCCCTAGAGAAACTAGGAAGACCGGGGGTGTCACTCAGGGGCGGAGCATTTGCCTAGCAGCTGGGAGCCCCCTGGTTCCATCCCCAGCGTCACAAAAAAAGAAAAAGAAGCCTAGCTTAGTGGAACATGCCTGTCATCCCAGCACTCTGGCAGGCTGAGGCAGGAAGATCTCAAGTTCAAGCACAGCCTGGGCAACTTAAAGACTTAGTGAGACCCTATCTCAAAATAAATTTAAAAGGGGCTGGAGAATGGAGATGTAGCTCAGTGGGAAGATCCTGAACTCAATCCTCAGAATCAGAAAAAAAAAAAAAAAGAGATAGAAAGAGGGAAAGAGGGAAAGAGAGAAAGAAAAAGAAATAGGCCCAGAGAGATGAGGACATTTGCCTGGGGTCACACAGCAGCTCGGAGGAAGTTGATCCAAGGACAGGGCCAGCTGGTGCCAGCTGCTAGATGCCTCCCGACGGTGTGTGCGAGGGAGACCTGGGCAAAGCCCTCTCGTGCCCGGCAGCTGCTCCATGAAAACACAGCCAGGGGCTGGCAGAGGCCCCCAAGGTGACAGAGACCCAGGGTTCCTACAAAGCCACAGCCCTGAGCAGACCGAGGAGCTGCCCGGCCGGTGGGCATCGAGGGCCACCCTGTGGGGCCGGGCAGACGGGAGGGGCTGTTCCGAGCGGCAGCGGAGCCGGCGTGAGTCACTTCCGCTCCGTGCCCCAACGCCACACCACGGAGCGGCCAGCCGTGGGCCTCTCGGTGCCAACTCTGGGACAGGCTGCCGGGGCTGGCAGAGCACACAGGAGGGCGTCCCCTGGGCAGTTGGGGCTTCATCCACACCCCGGACTCCCCATTCTCCAAACTTAGCTGGGCCTGGACACGGTGGCCTGTGTCTCAGGAGGCTGAGGCAGGATTTCCAGGCCAGCCCGGGGAACGTCGAGAGACTTTGTCTCACAGATAAATAAATGGCAGAGTTTCGGCACAAATCTGATTGTGTCACCTGAAAAGCCACCCGGAGCTCCTTCCACCCCCCAGGAGGAAGCCCTCGGCCCTGCCACTCGCCTTTCTGTCTCTAGCTGTCACCCAGGTGCGGACTGGCAACCCCAAATGGCATTCCAAGCCCTGTCCCTTCCTTTCCTCCCTTTCGGAGACCAGCGAAGTTTTAACCTTGCTCTTCCTGCCTTGCCTGTGGACCGAGGTGTCCATGGAGCCCATTTCTTTTTTTTTTTTTTTTTTTTTTTTTTTCTCCGGTACCGGGAACCGAACTCACGACCTTGCGCTTGCCAGGCAGGCGCTTTTTGCCGCTGAGCTAAATCCCCAGCCCCCCATGGAGCCCATTTCTGGCCAGTGAGATACAACAAAACTCCCCTGGGAAGAAATTCCCTTTCTGAGTGAAAAGATGGAGCCTGGCAAGAAAAGGCCCTCTCTTGCCATGCACGGTGGCACACACCTGTAATTCCAGGACTCAGGAGGCTGAGGCAGGAAGATCGATGCACATTTGAGGCCAGCCTGGGCTACATAGTGAGACCCTGTCTCAAAAATGAAAAGACAAAAAAACAAAGAAAGAAAGGAGGAAAGCAAGAGAAAAGGCTCTCTCTCAGTGCTCAGAACCCTGAGTTCTTTGGTCTTCTGCCCTTTCTCACCTATCTGCCTAGAACATACACATGAGGCCTGGAGCTACAGCAGCTATCGTGTGACCACGAGGCAACTAATGTGAGAGGACAAGACCTCCACATTTGAGGATAATGAAAAAGGAAGAGCAGGGAGCCTGGTGGCCTGCCTAACCCTGCCTGCCTGCCCCAGGCTTACTGCTGACTAAGTCAGAATCCCCTATCTCTGTGAGCGGCTGTGCTCCTTCCTGCCTCAAGCCCTTTGCACGGCTGGTCTGCTAGCGGCTGCTCCTTGCACCTCGCTCAGCCTGAGCCTCCCCACCACCTCTACCCAGTGGCCCTGCTCATCTCCGGGCCTGTGTGTCCACTTTCTCCAAACTTGCTTCTTCCTTCCTTTCTGCGCCCAATCCCAGCTTCCTGGGGGCGTGGGCTTCTGCCCTCCTCATTTGCCTCTGTACCCTCAGGGCGGGGCACACGGGGAGCCCACGAAATGTTTGCTGAATTAATTAATTAATCCACAGATTCGCAGAGTCATGAACGATCTTTAATGTTGGTTTGTTTTGGTTTTGAGACAGGATCTCACTGTGGAGCCCAGGCTGACCTTAAGCTCATGGCAGTCCTCCTGCCTCAGCCTCCTGAGTCCGAGGATGACAGGCGTGTGCCCTTCACTCCTGCTGGGTGCCTGGGCCTTGCGTTCCCACGCCTTCCGTGAGCCACGCCCCCCTCGGGCCCCTTCCTGTGCCGGCGGGCAGGGCTGCTCTGGTGCTGGCATCCAGGACCCTGGGCTTCTCCCTCCACCCCAGCACGCTCACAGGGGCAGGATGGGGACGTCATCGTCATCTGTCACACGCCATCTCCCCCTCGGGCCATCAACCCCCAGAGGGCGGGGACTCTTCTTCATTCCCGTTGGCCGGCACCTGGTGGCAGGAGAAGCGCTTGTTGAATGAATAAATGATGGGTGCGAGCAGCTCCAGTGACTTGGCTCGCAGACCCAGGCTGGAAGATGCGGGTCTGGAGGGCCAGGACCACCCAAGTGCCACCGCCCCCACCCCCACGCCCTGCAGCGGGAAGCCGCGTCCCCGCCCAGCATGGATCTGTCGCGCAGAACAAAAAAGGGGGCAGCTGGTGCCTCTGCCCAGACAGGCGCGGGGTCCCGGGGGACCCCTCCCCCACGGCCCCCCAGCTTCCCCAAGTCGTCGCGCACCCTCAACCTCGCGCAGCAGCGCCCGCGTTGAGCACTTTACAAACACGAGCTCATTAGCAGCGCGGCGGACACCGCGGCTCCGGCGTCTGAGTCACCGCCGCAGTTTACCCACAAAACAAGCTTTTCCCACGCAGCGGATGCGGCGCCGGCGAGCGCGGGCTCGGGGGCGGGGGAGGGAGGCGAGCAGGCAGCGCCGGGCCCAGGTCGGCTCCCAGCACCAGGCAGCTGAGGGGTGCGAGGCCTGCAAGAAGGGCCCTGACCCTGTCTGGGCGGCAGAAGTCGGAGGGAGGTGACCTGTCCCACCCTGTCCCCCGCCCACAAGCCTTCAGACAGACACTTTAGGGATTTTTGCTTTGATTTGGTTTTTGTTGTATTTTGTTTTTGAGACATGATCTGGTTGTGTATCTCAGGGTGGCTTTGAACTCACTAGGTAGCCTGGACTGGCCTCAAACTCATGGCGATCCTTCTGCCTCAGCCTCCCAAGTGCTGGATTTCAGGCACGGGCCACACCATGGCCACCCAGGGTTCACTTTGAGATTAAACAGACCTGAGTTCAAATCTCGGGTCCATCACTTACAAACCAGGGGCAGTGGTTGAGACCGTTTTCCTGCCTGTGGAAAGAGGTCCCCCGCAACCTGGGGATATTCCATGAGTGCACACTCAGGTACACGTGGCGCTAGGGAGCTGGTGATGTGCTCAGCAGAGGGGTGGTGTCCAACGCCCGGGGCTCCAGGGATCACAGAGGGGCTTGCAATTCAGAGAAGGGTGCGGGTCCCACTGAGGGGACTGGGGTTGCGCGCACCAAAGCCCCCTGCGGCCCAACCCCACCGCACCCCCACCATCGGCCCGAAGCACAGTGGGCAAACGCTGCTGCCCCGGCTCCCGGGCTCGGCAAATACCCAGGAAACGGCACTGCCCAGACTCCTCCAGGCCACTGGGGCACCCATTGCCCTGACATGGGCGCTGCTGCCTCCGAGGTGCTGAGGGAGCCGGAGCTCTGGTCACCCACCCAAGACATTGCTGTGCTGGACTGACGCTCTCCAAGGGGAGGTGGCCCCGCGTGTCAGCCCCTCGTGACAGGGGCCACCAGGCACCTGTGTCGTCCCACATTCCCTCCCTAAGCCAGCAAACATAGGGAGATAAAAGTATTCCCTTCTCCTGGTGTAGTGGTGCAGTCCTGTAGTCCCAGCGCTCTGGGAAACTGAGGCAGGAGGATCCCAGCAGGGCTGGGGATGTAGCTCAATGGGAAGAGCCTGGTTCAATCCCCAGAGTTTTAAAAAAAAAAAAAAAATGCCCCTCCCAGACTCCTTTGCAGCTAGCCAGGAGACTTGGCCCACTTCTGGCCGTGAGATAAATTCAAGCGTTTCCTGTCAGGAATGTCAAGGAAATCAGTTGTTTTTCTAATAAAAAGAGGAATGCACCTGGCACGGGGTTTTTGTTCTTTGCCCTTCTTCTCTCTCCACTCTCTATCCCAGTTTTCCAGCCTGGGATGCTGTCATGATCACTGGAGATGAAGCAGCTGTTTTGTGCCACAAGGATGAAAGTGATGTGCGAGGGAAGCCAGGACAACCTGACTGAGCTCCCTGTCTGAGCCATCGTGCTGGGTCCCCATGGCTGGCACTCACTGCAAATCCTGAGCGGCCTGTCACCAGGCCACCTTGGGGACCTCGGGGAGCTCAGCCTGGACCTCTGGGCCCAGCCTGAGCAGCTATTGTAAACACAGAACAACGGAGTGGATGGGTGCAGCAGCCTGAGGCCCAGGAGCAGAACAGCGAGCTCAGCCCGTAGGGCCCGTGACCTTGAGCAAGTTTCTGCCTCTCTAGGCCTCAGTCTCCCCATCTGTAACATGACTTGGAGGAACCGGTGCCCTCCAAAGTGGCCTGTGGGGCCGAAGGGGGCGCCTGTCACTCAGGTTCAGGTTCCCTGCGGGAGACAGCGCGTGAGGAGCCACTCAGAGGGCTGTCACGGGGACATGGGCTGGGACGAGGCCCTGCGCCATCTCAGTGCTGATGCCACCCAGAAACCTGGCTGCTGCTACCCCTAGGTGGTGAATAGGAAACTGGGGCACGGCCCTGCTCGGGGGGAACTCGCATGTCCCAAGGCTGCACGGAGGTGCAGGGGCATCCCAGGACAGACCAGGCTCCTCTCCCCGCATCAGTGCCCTGGCCACTGCGTCCCCAACCGGGAGGACGGCACTGGGGAGAAGGCTGGACCCAGTGCCACCAACGTGTGCTTGGCAGCCACGGCAGCGCCTGGGGACGGAGAGCCACGGGCGGCTCCGACGGGGACACTGAGGAAGGGACACTGGGGGGGCCGGGTTCTGGGCCTGAGGACCACAGGGCAGCTGGGGCTGCCACGGAGCTGCCCTTGACGCTGCCTCCGCCCTCAGACTGCGCCTCGGTCTTGACCTCAGCCCCTGCCCCGGCCTCTGCCCTGGGGGTTGGAGGGGGCTATGTGTGACAGAGGAGGGGAGACAGGGCGCCCGCGGCCCTCCCTGCTGGACTCCCCACCCCACCTGCTCTTCCTGGGGGGGCAGAGGTGCCTGCTGGGACAGAGGCCAGAGGCGTCCAGAAACTCTGGGCCAGGCGGAAGTTTGGGTCGGTGCAACCTTGCTCTCTCTCCGGGACTCTGCAGAATCTCCCGGCTCCTTGGGTGACTCTGAGGCACTGACTTAACATCTTCAAGCCTCAGTTTCTCCATGTGGAAATGGGAGGTGGTAGTGACACCCCCGGCATAGCTGCGAGCACAGGCATGGGACTGCGAGTCCCAAACTTACCTTTTGTTTTGTCTTGAGGTGTGTGTGTGTGACTATGTGGCCGAGGCTGGCCTTGAACTCACAGTGATCCTCCTGCCTCAGCCTCCCAAGGGCTGGGATTACAGGTGTGCACCAGCACAAACACTACTTTTAAGATGCAAATTTTATCAACAAAGAGGAGAACCTAAGAGAGGTAACTAACCTAGGGAAAAGCAGAAAAGCAAATAAGCAAGGGAGCCCAACCCAGACTCTTCCCCGCCCCAAGTGCACTCGGCGGGGTCAGATATTAATCAGCACTCCCCCCATTTGTCCTCCCCGGCCAGCAGAAGAGCCCAGGTCGCCAGGAGAAACCTGGCCAGCTGGACCTAGGAGAATTTTCTCTTTAAACAAATGCACCTAGATTTTGCAGTTATTCATATATGATATCAAGGGACAGCCAGGAGTGAGCAGACTTACCTGGATTGCAAGTCTGTGCTGATATGTGAGCTGTCACAATTGCACACGCTTTAACCAGGCACGCACACACCTGTAATCCCAGCACTCTGGGAGGCTGAGGCAGGAGGATTACAAGTTTGAGCCCAGCCTGGGCTACATAGTTCAAGGCAGGCCTGAGTTATATAGTAAGACTCTGTCTCAAAAAACAAAACCAGGAACCAGATATGGTGGTGCACACCTGTAATTCCAGCACTCAGGAGGCTGAGGCAGGAGGATCACCATGAAGTGTGAGGCCAGCCTGGGATACAGAGCAAGACCTGTATCAAAAAGTCAAAGCACATCAAAAACACTTGCACCCTTGAAAACAGTAATTCCATGGAACATTTCAACAATGATCATGATCTTGGGGCACTGAGACACACGCAACAAATTCCAAAGTAAAACACATTCTCAACCGTGAAACAAAAAATGTGCACGAATAGCTAGAGAATTCTCTTTAAACACTGAACTTGGTGGAAATTTGAAAACTCTTCCGAATAACTCTTGAGGTATGGTGTGAATCTGGGAGAAGATGACCCCTGGTGAGGAGTTTCACGTTCTCCGGACGTTAGATAAAATGAGAGGTTTACGCAGCCCAGCCCAGCAGATGTGGCCGCACCAGAGCGTGCGGAGACATGGTGACATCGGGAGACCTGGAAGGTACTAAGTGCCTAAGAAACAGACTCTTAACAGAGAGCTGACTTCCTATTAAACAGCCCTTGGGGAGGGAGAGATTCTGAGAATGTGCAGTTCCTTTAAGCTCATACAACAGAAGAATTGTTAATACACAGTTATCTCCCCAAACAATTAGATATAAAATTCCAGGAGCAGTCAGGGATGGGTCCCTATAGTTAGTCCCCTACTTAAAATGGTTTATGACTTCTTTTTTTTTTTTCTTTTTTTTTTTTTTTTTTTTTGAGACAGGGTCTTGCTGTGTTCGGACTGCTCTTGAACTCACTGTGTAGCCCAGGCTGCCCTTGAACTCCTGCCTCAGCCTCCTGAGTGCTGGCTGGGATGACAGATGTGTGCCCCCATGCCTGACTTACAATGGGTTGATTAGAACCTAATGCCCATGGTGAGTGGACGGGCATCTGTACATGCATTGGGCTTTTCATCTCCATTCGGCAGATGGAGAAAGCAAGCTAGAGAAAGAACCTGCAGAGAAGCCTCCCTCCCAA